TCCTCTTCTGACACATTCTTTAATTCATCTCCTCCTGTCTTCTATATCATTTCTGTGGCTTAATATGCTACTTTCATCTTATGTAGAGGAGATCATACCATGTATATATAACATATATAAATATAAATTTAAGCATCAATAAAAGTTATTCACAAGTGAGAAGATGGAGAATTTGTAGGCAGATTGGTAGCAAATAATAAGAGTTGGGATGGTATAAAGGATGGAACTCAAGTCTGTTTCTTTCTTCTTTCTCTTCCTTTCTTTCCTTCCCTATTAAGACACTTTTAGAAAATCATTTACTCTATGTCAAGCTATCTTCTAAACACTGGATTTCCAAATACTATAGAATCCTAAGGGTAGACACTACATTTTTTTCTTGCTGCTAAATCCCTTATGCCTTCTAAGACTGTGGGTATAAATGAAAGAGTGAATGCATAAATGATATTAAAAGGAAGGTCCTGCTGTCTAGGAAGCTCACATGCTTGGGGCTACAGTCATAAATCTAGACATCCCAGCACATATTTGTTGGTAAGGACAAACAAGTGACAGAGACCAAGGGAAAAGATTGATTCATGTGAGGAAGGTGCCTAAGAAGCTGCTAGAGGTACCTGCTACTATGTTGCATGTTTAATCCTCCTTCTTTGTACAAGTAGACACATTAAGATACAAAAATTTAAAAAGAGCTTTGATTATGCATGTGTACTTCACGCAGTTCCCTTATCGCTTAAAGATCTGCTACAGGAATTTTTTTTCCAATATTTCTTTTACATCAGCTACAGTCTCTCTCCTTCTATAAAAAATGTGCATGCATGATGTGGCCAGAAAGTTTTCTCTGCTTCACCTCAGGTGCATAATGTTTTACTTAGGATGAGATTAACTTAGGGAAGACATTTAAAATACATTTAGATGTTCCTAGAATTGAATGGAAGGTTTGTTTTATGCAATATTTTAGTTCTGTTCTTACTCATATATGTATTTAATGACACTATACTCATAAAGATGGGTATTAGAAACCATACTTATCTTCCTTGTTTACAAGTACTGGTGAATGTCTTCAGGGTAAATGGAAAATCAGTGTGTGGAAAGGGAAAATGTAGTAAACTTGGCCCTCTCCATTTAAGATCTATCCTGAGGTGTTGCTGCTCATTGCAAATGCAATCTTTTGAAACATCAAAAAACAAACCCTAAATAACAGCAGCAGGAACACAAGTGTAGTCTTTTTCTCTGTTCCTACTAACACCCTCATGGGAATGCGTTTATTTGAAACTGTCATGTACAGGTTATAAAATCAAGCTTCTCGTGAACGTGAGCTCTAAGAGACAAGATTTATTTTATTTTATTTTTATTTTAAAGAGGAAAAAACCCAAATAAACAAAAACAAAACAAAAAAATAAAAAAGATACAAAATTTTAAAACAAGGTGATAAACATATTAATGAGAGACAAGACATTTTATAATTTTTCACTAGTTACTCAATAGATACAAAGTAGACCTATTCTTAATCTGTATAAAGCAAACAAATTCTCAGCTGCACAGGCATCAATATAGGTTCTTTGGACCCCATGGATGGTTTTTCTTTTCCATGGCGAGTGGTAAGTATTGTTCACACCCACCTTAAATTTGTAAGAATGTACAATACTTTGGCTAAGGACAGCTCCCTCTCAATCTCTCTCTCTCTCTATTTTTTTTTTTTTCAATGATTCCAAGACAGTTGAAGAAGAGAAAGAATAATCTTTTTAAGAATGAGGCTGTGACAACCAGATACCCACATGGAAGAGATGGATTAGAATCTGTGCCACATTTTCTACACAATTCATCTAAACTGGGTCAGGCCTACCTGTTAGAGCTAAAGTTATAAAATTCTTAGAAGAAAATGTAGGAGGAATTTTTCACCTACCTGTCAGAGCTAAAACTATAAAATTCTTAGAAGAAAATGTAGGAGGAATTTTTCACAATCTTTGACTAGGTGATAGTTTATTTTATATATATACAAATGAAAAACATAATAGGTAAATCAGAATCACAAAAGTTTAAAAAGAAACTTTACTGCTTCAAAAGACTATCAAAACAATGAAAAGTCCATTCACAGAATAAAGGGAAAAAGTTTGCAAATCATAGGACTTGTATGTAGAATACAAAAAGAACACTTACAACTCAATAAAAATACCAATAATCCAGTTAAAATAAGATAAGGATCTAAATAGCCATTTCTGCAGAAAAGATACATTAAGTGGCAAGTGGCAATAAACACATGAAAAGACACTCAGTATTCATTAAAGGAATGTAAATCAAAGCTTCAATAAGACACTGGTATGGTTAAAAGAAAAAAAGACATGATAATGTGTTGACAAGTATGCAGATGAATTTTAACATAATGCTGGTGGGACTGCAAATGGTACATCTTCTTTGGAAAATTTTTGGTCAGTTCCTCCAGTGATTAAGGAACTGTATACCATATGATCTAGCAATTTTATACTCTTTGATATACATCCAACAGAAATAAAAACATTCATTCTTCACAAAATCTAGTATTTACACAAATGGAGGTCTGAGTAATGGCAATTTTATTAACAGAAATAAACACAATTAATTATTACTACATTTAAAAATTAATATTGGTTGACCTGAGGATTGACATTTTCATTTGGAAAGATTTGTTATTATTTGCTGCCAACCTGCTTATACATTCTTCACCTTCTCACTTGTGATTATTTTTTATTGATGCTTAAATTGACATATATATGTAAATATTATATATACATTGTGTGATTTAATCCATATAAAAATGTGCATAGAAAAAAGACCTTAAGGAAACATTTCACAACTTTTACAGTAGTTGGACTATCTCTAGCTTATAAAAAATTCCTAAAGATTTTTCCTTTTTTCTTCTACCTTTCTCCATTTTCAACTTAACCAAAATCATTTATCAGTCTAAAAATAATATTTTTAAATCTACCATTAGTATAAGCAATCACATTATAGTATTCTGAAATGTAGGAGAAAATATTTAAATACTTAATTATGTGAGCTGACAATTGGGGAAGATCCCTAATGTTCCAAAAAAAATAATCTCAGAGTACAAATCCAACAGAATGCACAGGTACTTACGACAACTGCTGATCTAAGGTAACTGCTGATCCTTTCACTTAGGGCTTTGTGTTTCAAAAGCCAAAGGAGGCACAGTGTTGACAGGTGGCACAATATTGAGCCTAAACAAGAGGAGACCTGGAGGGCCACGAAGGCCGTAGTCACAGCAAAAGCAAACTAGAAAATCCAGCCAGTATAAGGAAAGTAAAAGGAAAACCTTTCTGTCCTTTTCTCTAAAGAAGGGAAAATGCTTTCCTGTCTACATAAAAATTGAGAGTTCATAAAAACCATGTAGCTGCATGGGTTACAGTCACACAACTGAATGGTGTGCAAAAGACCTGAGCTTATTTTAGAATGCAAGGGCTTAGTCAGGAATGAGGCAGGAAAGGAATGAGGCATGAGGAGGAATGAATGCAATCTTTCTTAGGAGGAATAAATTTCAGGTCACTAAGAATTCCCTAAGACATAGTCCAGAGGAGCACAGACTCATAATAAGCACACAGACCCACACAAATAAAACACATGGGAGAAATAAGTTCTTTTGGGTAAAATCAGGACAGAAACAAAAAGCATACCTAAATCTGCAAAGATTTAAGATAATGAAGCTATCATGTGCAGAAATAAAATGTATATAAGAGGACAACATGAAAGACCAGAGCAAAGTGAAAAAAAATGAGAAATGATAAATAGAATTATTCAAATAAAATGCATAGGAAAAACAATTGATGGATGAGCAAAATAGTAGGTAAGACATAGCTGAATATAAAATTAGTGAACTGGAAGAAATAGCAGAAGAAATTGACGAGAACAGATTGATACAACATTATGAGGGCTAGAATAAGGGAGAGACAATATACTTAGAGAGAAAATATTTTGGTATACCAAAAAGTTATGCCAGTTAGCCTAGTAAAAAAAATTCAGTATCAATAACAGTAGGAAGAAAACAAAGGAATGTTCTTAAACTATTCAGAGAGGAAATAACTGATGTGAATAAAATAAAAATGTTTAGATAAACTAAAACCATACCAAAGAAATATGTCATATACAGGTAAACCTATATAGATATAGCTACCTTGGGGAGACAATATTAATAATGCCAATATCCAATTTCTTCAGCTTCATACAAAATACTACTAATACAGTGGCAATGTAAGATTACTGTTCAGGTTGACCCAACTAGGAAGGTCAAGATCCTTGGCTTATCTGAAGGAGGATAAAAATAATAATTAACTCACTTAAAAGTGGAATCTAAAAATTTGAATTCACAAAGTAGAGAATATAATGGTGTTCACCAGAAGCTGTGGTGGTTTGAAGGAAGGGAAGATGGAGAGATGCTGGTAAAAAGATAAAAATTTCATTTGTACAAGAGTAAGTTAAGAGATCTATTATAAAACAGTGACCATAACTAATAACAATAATGTATACTTGAAAATTGCTGAAAGTAGATTGCATGTATTCATACGTCAAAATGATACAAGTATGTGAGATGATACATATGTTCATTAACTTGATTTAGCTGTTCAACAATATATGAACACATTAAAACACTATATTGTTTACAATAGGCACATACAATATTATTTGTGAATTTAAAACTAAATTTGAAACATATTAAGACTTTGGTAGGTATGAATGTTCAAGTTTCTAGAATGATATTAAAGGAACAGAAGTAACAGTCTTAATTTCTAAATCAATGTAGGTTTTTAAAAAATGGAAAGATGGGAGAGCAGTGGGCAGAGGGAGAGAAAAGAGGAAAAGTAGACTGAAAAGAAGGTAAGCTGGGCATGGTGAAGCATACCTGTAATCCCAGTTACTTAGAAGGCTGAGGAAGGAGGATTTCAAGTTCAAGGCCCACCTGGGTAACTCAGCAAGACTCCGCTTCAAAATAAAATTTAAAAAGGCTAGACATAGGTCAGTGCTACCTGGGTTCAATCCCAGGTATTGCAAGGAAAAACACAAGTGTGAAATGCAAACACAAGTGTGAAATGCAAAAATATTTAAAAGATACAAAAACCTCCACTATATACCAGTTATATGTAGCAAAAATCACAATAAATATAAATGACCTAAACATCACTCTTAAAAGACAATGATTACTGTACTAATGTAAATTAAGTATAAATTCTAGCTATGTACTATTCATATAGGACACACACAGTATTACTCTTACTATCAGGTGAGAAGGGCCCTGGTCTGGGTTCTGTGAGTTAGAACCCTCTTACGCAAAGTATGGCTCTTGGATCAAAAGCAGCAGCATCACTTGCACCCATTAAGAGTTGTTGAGTCTCAGAAACTGCATTGTCATGAGCTCTACATTAATGCTTGTGAAGCACTTTCAGTGGCGCAGCGTATCACAAACACATGAATTTTTGTTTAAGACTACAAGGGAGAGCCCTTCTGTCATTCTGTCCCAGAACCATCCACAATCAGAAACCTCCACTGCTGTGTTCAGTATTGATCATGCTCCAGAGAAAGCGCCCTCCAGATTTCTGACCCTATGTCTCCTGTGTTCAAGTTCTGTGATTTGTGGGCTCTGCTGGTGCTGAAAATCTGGTTACTGATTCAGTGTCTGTCAGGAAGAGGAACAGAATGAGTAGGATTTTAGATTGTGGTAAAGCAGAACTTATGAGAAGAAATCTTAGGGGAAACTTTTTGGGAAAAAAAGGATAAACGGAAAATCTGCTTACATCTTTAAACAGTAGAAATAATGGGGAATAAAAAAGAAAGATAAACAAACAAACAATAAAGCTAGCAGTAGTGAAGCCTGCAGACATCTGTCAAGTGACACCACAAAAGCTCTAGAACAGCATATTACACGTTTTTACTTAATGAAAGTTAAATTATTTGCTCAAAAAATATAAATGAGCAAGACAATTATTCTGATCAAATCCATAACTGAATATATCAGACAAAACCTTTGACATCTGAAAGTCTTTCCTAAATGAAGGCATAATTACTGAAGAAAGCAAGTATAATGTACATGGGCTTCCACTGGTACTCTTCATAGACTCTGCATTAGTGGCCAGCCGACTTTACACCAAACTCAGAAGGAAGACAACTATGAAGTGGAAAAAAATGTACCAATCAAACTGGCATTTGTGGAAGTAAAACTTAATGCCTACTTTTATATCACCAAAATGTAAACAAAACATACAAAAATCATATGCACTTTTTCAAAAAAATCTATAATATGTTTACATTAAAGTTTAAAAAAAGAATTCAATGTGAAAAAAACCTGGCAAAAAGAAACCAAAATACATATACCAAGCTGGTAAGATTATGGAAATATTTTCCCTCTATTTTTTCAAAAAAATTACAATTTTTTAGACTAAAAATTACACTTATGAAGTCTACAGTAGTAGACTTCTCTTTATTTTTAAATGTCTTCTTGGTGTGTGTGTGTGTGTGTGTGTGTGTGTGTGTATCCTGATCTACACGAAGACCTCTGTAATGAACTACACATCAATACTAATCATGTTCTATGGTAGATTTATGACTAATTTTTGCCTTTCCCTCTTTACCTTCTGTCCTTTGGAGAAGACAATGAGTACATGCGCAGTTGCAATTAGGAAAGAGGTAATGTTCACTTTCCAGCACCAGCACTCTCGCTCTCTTGCTCCTCATTTCCTCTTTGGCTTGCTGCAGTAAGGATGAGGCAGCAGTAGCTTTTTCTGAACAGAAGGCATCACATGCTTCCTAGGATAGCCGACAGGCGGGGTTGGGGGGAATACTGATGAGTTCTGGTGTTCAGAGTGGCACAGAACCCCAGAAAATACATAAAGGAACGTCTGGCTCCATTCCATCCTTCAAACCTTCCAAAGGTTTGGCTGCCCTGTGTGCTAACAACGGTCCTTGATCAGCAGAGCAGCCCGTGTCGAGATTTCTGTCCCCACAGAGACTGGGCCAGCACGCTGGTGGCCATTCCCAGAAACAGGCCTCCTCACTGCTCTTCCCTGTTGTCTTGGGTCCTAATCAGAGGAGCTTATTTTCGACTGATTCTTTTGGCCACTGTCATTCTGTTATCACCTGGGACATCAAACATATTCAAATGTAATGATGTCAAATAACTGTGACCTCTTTGCAGAAGATGCAGAGCACGTGACAAGCCAGCCTCCGTTGTCTTCTGGAACCCAATCAACATTTCATGTCTGTCTGATAAGTGTCTCTTAACAACAGGAAAGGAATAACTGATACAACTGCTTCTCATGCTCGGTCTTATTCTTGATTCTAGGTCCAGTTACGTTCTCTTTCCTGCTGTGGCTTGGATGCATCCCCTCCAAACTCTGGGTGTTGCCACTGTGATAGTGCAGAGACTTTGAGGTCTGTGGGCTGTGAGCTGCTCCTTCATGAATGGGATTAGAGCCCCTCATGGAGGAGCTGGACACCTTCAACTGTGTTAGGAAGCCCTCTACCCACTTCCAGGGTGCAGCCCTCACCAGTCACCAAGTGTCTGTATTGATCTTGGACTTCCAGCCTCAAGGACAGTCATATATAAATTTCTGTTCATTATAAATTTGGAATTCTGTAATAGCTGCATAAAATAGACTAAAAAATTCCTTCACCACTGCCAGCTCTTTCTGTCAGGATACCTTGTTCTTCATGGTATCTTTCTCTGACATTTATTTCTGAACTTTGAGAAGAAGAACCCACTGTATCTCCAGCTGGGCCCCAAAGCACACACAACTGTTAATGAGAGCAAAGAGCAGGATTCCTCAGGGGACCCTGCAAAGTTGTCCCCTGAATTGAGCACTGGGAGAAGGGACCACGCAAGTTCCTACCTTCCCTTTCCCCACCACTGTGTTCTTCAGTGTAAGTGGTAACCGCTCACTTTCTGCACTTTCATCATTTGAAACTTTTACAGTGGAATAAAAATGAAGTGTATGAGCTTTATGATTTTCAGTAGAGTGGAAGCAGACACCACTTCAGGTAATGGGAGACAACCTGTCGTGGATTCATCCGCGACAGCCGTCTGGCAGGTGCGACACTGCCAATAACTCCAAATATGGGTCCCATAAACCTGAAGTTCATTTAGATGTACAGTGTATATTTTTTGTTCCCAGTCAAATACTTTTGAGTGACTTAGGAACCAGACTCCTTCTTCACAAATTTTATATTACTTTATAGCCAATTTCCTTCTGATGCAAGTAGAACGGAAACTTTCCTTAAAAGTTGTTAACAAACTTTAGTGATTCAAAAGAATGGTAATTGCTCTCTATAGCTATGTGGGAAATGAAGACAGAGGAAACCACTTGCTACCCTAAACTCCAATAGATCTATACCTGGTGAGATTTATTATGCAACAAAGTCTCCTTTGACAAGATTAGCCTAGAATAAAGTCTGCCCACCCCACTGTAGAATTATTACATAATAATGTCCCTGCCAGCACATTTATTCCTCATCCTACTATCTTTGTTGCAGGTGGAAGGCTTAATTCCCATTGTCACCACCACGCATTACAACATCTCCATGAACAGCTTGCTTCAGTCCTAACCATACACCACTGTTTCCTGTTTTGCTCAAGTCATGATGTGTTATTAAGATGCACAGCAAGGCTTGAAATTAGACAGAGCTGAAGTGCCATCTGGGATCATCCTCACACTCTTTTCACCAAGTATTGAGAGCAATCTTCGACCACAAACCTTCTGTTGTCAGAGAAGCTGCATTCCAACGCTGCACAGACACAGTGGGGTGGCCACCCAGGAAATCTGAGGAGGCAGAAATCTTAGGTTTCTTTATCTTCTGCCACCAGCATCACTGCTCAGGCCACAGCAAGAGTTTACCAACTGCTTCCTTTTCTTATAATCTGGAGCTTCTGCAACTCATGCCATGCCAAAGCCAGGATCATCTACTAAAATTCCCATCTAATGGAGCTGTTCTTCTAATTTACTTTTTCAAAGCTTTCTTAAAGCTTTCAGGACAAGATCCATCTCCATAGCATGTAAATATTCCTATCTACTCTGCACTATAGTTTGATGTCTCTGTCTCCAGCACTTCTACTACATGCAAGTTTCAGGTAGTTAAGGGCTGTACCTTATTCATCATTCCGTGGACTCCACAACACAAGGCTGGGTGTTCTGGTTTGACCTAAAATGTCCCCCCTAAAGCTCATGTGATCCCAGGTAAGACCTTTGAAGAGGTTATTAGAATATGGTGGCACTAACTTAATCACTGGATTAATCACAGGTGAGTTCTTGGCTAAATGTGTCATCAGGTGATAGGAGCACGTTGAAGAAGGTGGGCCACTGCGGTGAACCTGGAAGGTATACCATTATCCTTGGTCCCTTCTTCCCTCTCTCGTTCCCCCTCTCTCTGACTCCTGGTTTCCATGCGGTAAGCACCATGCTTCCATCATGCCCTCTTATCATGATATTTCTGCCTTGGAACAACCAGACCATGGCCTGAGACCTCTGAAACTGTGAGCTAAAGTAAACTTTCCATCATTTAAATTGTGTATCTGGGGGATTTTGTCCCAGCAATGGAAAGCAGATTAATACATTGGATATACAGTAAGAACACAGTATTGTTTAGCAAATAAGGGAATGAATAAACACCACTAAACCTCCTCTTTAATCTACTTCAGGCCAAGAAGTTATGTCATTTGCCAAAGAGTTCACAAGGAAAAAGTGTGGGTGTGTCCATTTGTCTCCTGAGATACTGCACTGTTGTAAAATATGGGCCTTACTGCATCTCAACATCTGGCCCACCATTCTGGGAGGGTCATCAAATGCTGTTCTGTATTTAAAGGGGAAACATAAATTAAAGCTAGGCACACTGCATATGTGAAGTCCTTCTGCCCTCATTTATCATTACCATCTTATGATTAATGAGCTTACCTGCCAGATTTGCTCAACTCTCTTCCTATTATACATAATCACAACAGGACTATGCCAACCCAATATTCAACAAAATTCACTGGACTCTGCACACATGAAAGACATTTCTAGGTGCTGGAGATGCCAAGATGAGCAAGTCATGTTCTTGGCCTCAAGAAGGTAGTATACTCACGGAGTCAGGCACGAGGACAAATAATTGCAATACTGTGCGATCAGAGGTATGTACAGGATACAAAGAATATTTTAGCACTTACCAAGGTATAGTAATTATAATAAGGCCCTGTGCAGCATAATGACATCTGGTCAAAAACACACCACATATACGATGGTGGGCTCATTAGACTTTATCACCAAGTGATGTCAGAGTCACATAAGTGTAAGTACACACCATGTTTATGTGATGTCAAATGGTCTAGTGACATATTTCTCAGAATGTGTTCTCATGGTTAAGCGAAGCATGACTGTATTTATTTCCTCACTGGTTTTTCATGAAATCTTTTGTCTCATGCCCCCTGGTCCATGTCTAACACACAGATACTCAGCCAATGTGATTGGCTGACTGATGCAGGGGTGGCCTAAGAAAATGTCCTATCTACTCTGCATGGAGACTGTAACTATAAAATCTTTAGAAGGGAGATAACGGAACTGGATTTCACTGAATTAGTTCTTGTGAAGGAAAGAAAAGGAGGTACGTGTGAGACAGAAAGCTGTGCTCCCAGGGTACTAGAACCTGCAC